CTTACAGGGAGAAAGGCGGCATAGATTAATTAACATTACTTACGATTGCACGCTTTCCGGTTGCACAAACGGCCTTCTTCCAGCACTCCCTCGCAGATGAGGCCGTCTTCTGGAAGGGGCTGGCAGGTGCGGGTTCGAGTCTGCAGGCCTCCCCCACAGTCCCTGGTGCATTCTCCCCATGTCGACCAAGGGTTCCATCCACCTGAGGATCAGCCAGAAAAGACACAGCGGTAAAAAACCTCAGCCTTCCTGCTCCAAAGAGAGAGGGGAGACCATGACTCCCAGCCTATGTATGCAAGAAACAAAACTCATCACAGGGGGACCCAACCTTGTGTCCCCCAAATGTTCTTTAGACTACAGCTTCCAGAATCCTTTACCACTCAGCTGTGCTGGCCAGGATTTACAGGAGTTGTAGTCCACGAATACCTGGGGAGCACTGTCTGACCAGCCATCATCCTTACGTCAATTCACCCCACATAAATGAGAAACCACAGGGCGTCTCTTCCCAATAGCAATGGATGTATCTCCAGACATTGACCACAACCTTACTCTCCTGGTGCTCTCAGGACATCATTATTTGCACAGGAAGTAAATAGTGTCCCCAGAATATAGTCACATTTATATTTTTCTGGTTTTCTTTTTTTCACGCGATGAAAAGCATCTGGGGGAAAAAGAGAGACCCTTTCCCCAAACCACACTATATAGTCTTGCTTTATTTCCGGATATTTTTTGTTCCAAATGTAACACATGAGTTTTCTCCCCAGAACCTGATCCAGTAGGTCAATTCATACGGGAAAAAACACCACTGAAAACCACAAATTGCCTTTGCTCCCTGCCTCCTCAGCCCTTTGTAACATTTATTGATTTATCATCTTAAAGCTGGAAGGGACCTTATGGATCATGGAGTCCAGCTCCTGTCAAAGAGGCCCAGCGGAGAATCGAACTCCCAACTTCTGGGAGAGACTGGGGTGAGTTTATGTCCTAACCAAGGGCAAGCCAAGAAAAAAAATGCAATACGGCTGTGTTTGAAGGTGCACATTTTCATAGAAAGATACACTGGAAGGCAAGCTCGAAGTTGGAAAAAAAATATCAATGGTATTTCTGTCAGTTCCCTTCTTTTTGTTCCCAAAAGGTTAGCCAATTTAAAATCTTCCCAAGCAGCCATAAAATATCACTACCAGTTAATCAGCTGACATTTTATTTAAAAAATGTATTTGTTCCTTTAAAAGGTTAATGTTATTTTAGTAGAAATAATTATAGAAGCTGCAGATGGCGGTGACAGTGTCGGGAAAGATGTCCGCCATTCATTCCCAAAGAAGCTTCTACTACACTGGCACAAGAAATACATTCCGGATTAACCTTCGCTATGGGGAAACAT